TTCCCAAACAGGTAGCTCTGACAAAACCAGTCCTTCAACCTTCTTGAAAGCTCCTCTTGATTTTACAGCTTTCAGGGGAACAGTCTCTTAAAGACGATGTTAAGGATCTCTTTCTATTTCTGCAAGGGCTGTGCACATCAAAAATAAAATCCTGGAGATTTTTGCAAGTGTTAAGAATGCAGAAGGGGGTGTAGGTTGAGGCCAGCAGCAGTGTCTAAATGGAGCATCTATGGACACTTGGTGCAGAACTGTCCTCAAGCCTGGTGCCGCAATGAGAAGGGACAGGCAGGGAACAGAAAGCAGAAATCGTATGAGTGGCTGAATTTCCTGAAGTGCAGGGACATTATGCACAGACCTGGAAGAATAGGGTAGGAACACATACGGGCTATGGCCTGTGTTAGGTGACCAAAATAAATATGGTTGTTTCAGGCATGAGGGTAGAGGATTATGATTCCATTGTGTCTGTTGGGAAGTTTTCTTAAATTTGCAGGCATTGACAGTGTTCATGTTTAAATCCAGCCCCCTGAGATTTTTTCAGACTCTCTGAGTGTACTGAAACTCCCTTATTCCCTGCAGAGCAGTACAGGACAAATGGTAATTGCCTACCTAGAGTTTTACTGCTGTCTGGCTTCAAAAAGTTGTTCTCAGGATTGTCTAACCCAAAGTAGGCCCAGTTATTTTTTTTTTTCTCCTTCCTTTTGTTTTGCAACCTCTTCCAGTGAATTCCATGTGTTAGGGAAGAAAGATCACTTGAAAATATACACTGTGGTGAACCTCATCCTTTTTATTTCTTTTAATGCTATTGCATTCATGAGACATCCACATAGAGATAATAGAAGAGAAAAAAAAAATAAATTCACAAGGGAAATAGATTCTAGTTTAAGCTTCCAGGGGATTATTATAAACGGGGAGAAAAAATATTTTAAGGATTATGAGAAGTGCCTTGTCAGTGTCCTTTTAAGTAGAACAACTACTAATGCATTAGTTACAGAATTGTGTGAAATCTGTCTTTTTACTAGGTGCTTTAGCAACAGTGTATTCATTTTATAATCCACATCCTAAATGGTACATTATTTACCCTCCCTTTTCTATCTCCCCTCCCTCTAACAAAAAATAAAAGTTTTATTGTAGACCTTTTTCTTCCATGAACTATCAAGAAAATCCTGTACACAGAACAGTGTCTGATGTTATAAACATGTGTTTGTCCCTTTATAGGTATTTGGGGAAATTATCTATCACCTTGTGCAATGTCAGGGTGTAAAGACCTTGGTCACTGTGACATTTGTGATCTGCTGACATCTGTCACAGTGATCATGGGGGAGGGAGCGCTGTCTGCAGGGCCACCATGCTCCTTGACGCAGGGCGGAGTAGGCAGGAGCTTTCAACAACAGGCAAAATAGCAGTTTGGATGAAGAAGAAGAGGGAACAGCATATGCCAGCTGCACTTGTGATCTGCACTAAGGAAGGGGCCAGGGATCCCACTGTGCTTCAATCATGCATGGTTTCACAGGCAGCCTTCTCTGAAGCTATGACAAAGCTGCAATTTAGTCAACCTTCATTTACCACTTGCTATGCTTTAGCAGCAGCTTTATTGTGAGATCTGTCAGTAGTCTACTTTTGTAAGTCGGGCAAGCATGGTGTGGCCTCGCACTTGTGGTTCAAACAACTGTAATTAAACTCATGCCAGGTTGCCACTGCAAATTTCAGGAGTCATGAGGAAGGAGGTGCTCTCCAGGGATGATCCTGGGCCGGACCGTGAGCTGGACCTTTATGAGATATGAGTTGTTTGGGGCTATTAAAGTTGCAGGGGTGGTAATGTGGTACATGGCATTGTGGGCACAAAAGATGTAAAAGAAAAAAAATTAAAATAGTGAGAAGAGACTGAGCGGCTGAAATGTGATACAATTTCTGTTTATTACTTTCCAATAAAAACTCTGATTTTTATCAGTTGTTATTGTTACTTGTCTCTTGCTATTCTCTTTATAGGTAATAGGAGATAATATTCTACACTTCCTTTATAAATTCCCGCATGTGATTTTAGGAGTGGATTCAAACCTCAAACATCACAGATAGTGCCCCTAAATGTCCACATACAATAATTATTATTTTTTTTGTCATGGGTACTGATTCCAAATGAAAAGACTGTAGAGGCATTTTGGGGAAGGATAGTCACTGGAGAAAGGACAGTTTTGTTAACATAAAATGCTGGGGGATCTGTTTATACCTAGGAATTAAATTTAATTTCAAGTTATAAGAGAACACTGGAGAAAAAATGATAATATAGTCCCTACGATTTTTAAATTTTCATTATTCTTTCTGAGATCATGGTTTTCATGTAAACCAGGCATGGCAGAAATGTAATTTTTGCTTTCAGTTATTTTTCTTTTGTAAACCACTGCTTCTGTCAAAAGTATGTACTTAATTTTAAACGTGAATGCTAAAACTAATCAATATTAAATAAACATGTTGTCTTAATTAACAGCTCTTTGAAACATCACAGATCTTGTTCATCCTCTTTTGTACACTCCCAGCAGAATTTTCAAATTTCATTAATAACACTTGACATAACCTAACTCAGCTACTTGCGAATGTAGTCAGCCATCCTTGTTGTCTTACAACTTTCCCTGTTGAAAAATTTGGTTTGTTTTAAAGCTCAATTGTGTAGATTTCTGATCTACTTGGATTGTGACTGCAACTGTGAAAATCCTTATCATGTTGTCAGTGTCTGAGTTGAGGTAGGGGGCTTTTTTGCTTTAGTTATTTTATAAAAAGTGTGAATTTGACAAGATATGATTTTTAGCTAACTTTCAGTTAATGCATACTTTAACTAGTTTTTTACTCTAAATTTTCTCATACATGCTTTCTTAAACTGATTTTTCACAATTTCCACAGTTATTGAAATCTTTCTAAAGAGATTTATGTTTATTTCCTGAGCACTCAAATTATCTTGAATAATCAAATAGAACATAGAGCAAAATTTTGTTTCGTTTGACCTATAGTGCTATATAAGGTTATTTCACAATAGAAAAACATATGATATAGGAGAGAGGGTTTTTTCTCTGTCAAGAGGAGAATAAAAGCATGGCCAGTAATGATTGTGTGTGTTTAATGAGAAGCTTGGTCTTATATTTATGCCAGAGGTGCACACAAATGGGCATTTGCAGGCAGGGCAGGCACTTCGTCAAATAGTTTCCTTTTCAAAGGATTCCCATCATGCAAGGGTGGATGGGGAGGTAGTCTGCAGGTAGGTTGGTGATAGATTGATAGTCAGAGATTCATCACAGCAAAACAATGGAAATAATGATTATGATAAGTGGTATTGTCCTTTTAAATTAATAGATTGTAACCTTACCATGTCTAATGTTCTCTATAGCTGCCTTTGGTTTTTAAGGATATTTCCGTCCCTTCTAAATGCACTAAATATCTCATCCTTCTTATGGAGAGAATTTGGGAGTTTACAGTTTCCAACAACTGTATGTATTTGTCAGTTTTTCTACACCATGCTTTTTGGCATTTTGCCTTATACAAATGAGTCATTAACCCTCAGCATTGGAAAGTTTAAGAGAAGTGTTATACTGGCTGGGAGTGACAGGTTAAGCTCATCCCAGATATTAATATTGACAATAAAACTTGCTTGGAAAGCAAAAAATATTAAAACCAAATTTCATCCTACCTGTGAATCAAACTTATATGTGAAACTTATGTTTTGTTTCACATAAGAGGGCCAAATAAACAAGAGCATGGCCAGATGTTTTTCTATTCTCCTCTTGTGGCGTTTCCTTTGAATACAGACTGAGCCGGTAGTGTCCTCATAAGGTCTGTGATTTGTTTTCCCGATTCAACCTTTTAGCTGCTGCCATATAGGTCTCTGTTGCTTTTTTCTTGAAAACCTAATTCTTCTGAGAGGTCCTACATGCAGGAGTTCCTGGACTGAATTCTCTGTTGATCTCACCATGAATGTATCAACTTAAGAGTTTCAGGGTCTAATGATCTTTTATGGGTCCAGAAATGATTTTGTTTGAGTCTTAAATAAAAATTAACATTGTTACTTGAATTGGACATTGCCCAGAGGAGTACTTAACATTTATTTAACAATAAATAGAATAGCACTGTGTGCAACTGGAAAGGTATGTGTCTAGCTGCCCCCCCAGAAGAATCCTATTAGAACATATTTTACCTAAAAACTTGAACTGCAATAGCAGTATTAGAGGCAGCGGCAGTTACAGGCAAAACCTGGACCTGAAAGTTGCTCAGTGCAGTGAGGAGCAAAGGCAATACACAGAAACAGCTCTTGGGGAGCTGGGACCACAGCCAGCAAATAGGAAATAAAATTTGTATTGTGGGAAAACAAAAGCTGGCATTTCACTGTACCATTCTCCCAGTCCTCCCAGATTTTCCGCACATCCTTCGAGTCTCCTCCCGGTTGCCTCTACACAAAACAGTCCTAGCTACCTGTCATTGTCCTTAACTTGCACGGTAAGAGATTCCAGGGGTCTGCTTTTGGTGTATCTTGGCTTCCTGAAGTCAGCTGGAATATTGTGTTCATGCGCTGCCAAATTAGGCTGTAAACTCTTGCACTTGTGTCCTACCTGCCTCTAAGGAGCCCCAAGTACTTTTGGCATTGTATAAATAGTAAATAACTTAATTCCTCTGACCTCAGGAACAAGTCTGCTTGGCAGCTTTCCTGGTGGGCTCTGTGTCTATGGCAGCCTTTGTTCTCGCTTTGTTGCATGACGAAGAGAATGCAAAGGCCTCTATGTGTTTGCCTAGACCTGCTCATTTTCCTTAGTGACATACAAAATAGGGATAAAATAGATTTTGTTTATTATATCTCATCCTCAGTGAAATATACAGCAATAGTTCACTACACATGCTAGTAGTGTACAGCTAGTAGTTCCCGTATGCAGGTAGTGGTAGTTAATGTCTGGAGTCATGATAACATTCTATATGACAAAATCTGGTAACATGGCTTAAAATGATTGTATCTATATTCTTTTCAGATGTTGATTGCCAGTATCATGTGCAGCTATAGCAGGGAGGACTGGACTGAACTTTCAAAAATGGCTGAGGTAATGGTTTCCTAAATGTGTTTCTGCATCTTTTTTTATTCTCCTTAAAAACAAGAGCTGCAATAAGAAATAGATTCAAAGTGAGAAATGAGAATTTAAAGCATGTCCATTATAATTTGTTTGTTCTGTGTTTTCATTAAAATGATGGAAAAGTAAATTTAAAGGAAATCTGTTCCATAAAAATGGTCCCTTGGATTTTTAAGCAGTACCTGGAAAGCCTTTAGTCTTTGTATCTATATACTTTTTATTTGCATTTTAAGCAAACTGTATATTATGATGGATACCCTGATAAAATTTAATTCTACCTCTGAGAGCCTAACTTGATCTTACCTTGCCTACAGGCACACTAGTTTGACAGCACCAGAAGAAATTTTGAATATAATACTGTTGAATATTTAAAGTATAAAAGGCTCATTTGATGCTATTCTAGTTTTAATACAGACTTTCAAAAATGATAGCAGAGAAAGCCAGAGTATATAACAGCAGTCAGCAGGCTTCCTGTTATATAAATCAGATCTTACACAAATGCAAACAGACTATGCACCTGAAATTTCGATTCAATTTAAAGGAAAAAAAACTGTAAAAAACATGTACCTGTGTCCATAGAGAACAGTATAAGAAATACTTGATTAAGACTGCAGTAATTTCATTCAGAAAGGTGTCTATATCTGAATGTAATACAAAGTTGTTATTTTTTAAATAAAACTGATTTTTTTGCACAAAAAATATCTAGAGGAAATATAAAACATAGTTTCAGATCAATAAAAGAAGGTTTTAATAAATATAAGCAAGGAAAAAAAATAGCTTATCATTATTGCTAGCACTAGCTCAGATTTAAATATTTTGTAAGTATTGTATATATTTTTTGTATATATATTTTTATGTATCTGTAGTTATTGGTGTGGGATATTTTGAATTTGTGTTTTCATATGGCTGAATGTGTATGTTTGGACAGTGTTGTTTCTTTATTCACAGTGTCCTCAGCACTCAGATTGTGATGTGGGAAGATACTTCTTTATTTTCTTTGGGTATTTTATACCTATGGGGGAAAAAAATCACTTTGGGGACTTAGGGAAGTGAAATTAAACATTATCAGTAATTGGCTTGGTGATCTTCAACACCAGTCTATTTTGTACCTGTATTTACCTAATTGACCATGAAATCTTTTGTGGAATCCACCCTTGACAAGAGCAGTACCGCTTTTAAACTGACTAAGATGAATGGCTTTACTGTGCCGTTTGCTCCTCTATTTTAATCCAGTGGCACTGCTAGTCAATCTTAAAACACAAATTTCCAATCTTAAAACAGAAATTTCCAATCTCTGTTTGTATTTATGTTGCTCCTTTAGAAAAACGTAGTTATTTAAATACACTTAATAATGTGTAACGTATGGGATATACTTCCTTCCACAAAGTAGTTGTTAGTCTCCACTTTTCAGAGAGCAGCATGCTTGTTTGGGGCGCTCTGGAATCCACAACTGAAGAGCAGTGATATTTAATCACATCCATAGGATCCTACCCAGAAGGTAATAGAAGTGGCTTTCCAAAGAGCAGGAGCCCCAGCAGGTACTGCAGTGCCTCTCAGCAGGAGGACGACCTATTCATACAAAAGGTCAGCTTGTCATGGGGGCCGACAGCACCAGCAACAGTGTGGCGTGGCCGGGCTTGCAGAGCTGGCCGGGATGTAGAGCGTTCCTGAAAGTGATGGATGCCTTTTCCCTTGCTCACACACTCGGAGAGCTGCTGAA